ATAGGCTCGTTTAAGCTCGTTTAGGCTTGCGAGCTCACTAAATTGTTCACGAGCCGAGCTCGAGCTTCATTTTAAGGCTCGAATCGAGCTCGAGCTTCTTCAAAATTAAACAATCCGAGCTCGAGCTTGGTTAGGCTCGGGCTCGGCTCGGCTCGTTTACACCCCTATCCCTGACAGCATTTCTATCATGGTCTCCTGATAGCCTTTCTATCATGAGAATAAGCTTAGAATGAAGTCATAACTATATCAGATAGTCTTCAAAAAATGACATTTTCTTAGTAAAATCAAATGGCAAGGAGTTATACTTCAAAGATAGATAGCTTTGATGGTTTTGTTTGATTTATTATTTTATCTTATGCTTACAGGTGATTTTAGGTGTTAATCGCCTAGATATTAGTCCCAAGGGTATTTTGAGAAAAACCATCCTATTTTAAGTTTTTTGTGTTAGATTATGATTTGTTTTCCGGTAGCCGTATTAGACAAGATTTATTTTATGTTTTACTACGTTTCAACCATCTTACAGCTATTGAAAAAGACAAAACAAAAGCAACAAATAAATGGGGTTGAAGGTAATGTATCTCTATTTGTAACGGTGCATAATTCCTGCCCACTAACTGTTCGACCAAATGCCATGTACTATAAAATTCAACTTTCCGGATAGATTACTATATTAAAGGCACGTTTTAGTCACTTCCAGCATAAACTTCTCACTCTAACTTCATAATTAATTATAGTAAAAAAATTGCATTTTTCTTTTTTCCTTCAGGCTAATGTAATGCTAATATGTTCTTGCTATAAAAAAGCTTTGACCTTAACGGTGTGTTCTGAAGTTCTTTATTCATAGAGTACAATGGATTGAGGGACTAGGAATGTTAATAACATAGATGTAGAACTTCAAGATTTTTTCTACAGATTCATTAGAGCTTAGATTAATGGGTATATTATCGTGGACATACCTTATCCAGGACATGATAGTTTCTCTAATACATATCTTAAAGTTAAGTTGAATATAAATGTTTAAAAATATGATTATTAAAAACTACCTTATTGCATATAGTGTGTGGTATGAGGTATCACATGATGCTTTGATCTTCAGAGCTATTTAGAGAATAATACTTTTTTTAAATAAGACTTTATATATAAAGCACCTAACAAGAAGCTACGAACATTACAATAAATCCAACATAGGATTGATACACAAAATTCTCCCAAAGGAGTCTAGATCCTAAGATGCACTCTTTCTTGGGTTCTATGTTTAACAGGACTATCAAGCTAGACTCAAGACCTTTGTGTTAATATTTATTTTAAGTTTATTTGGCACGCAAAGCGTGTTCAAGGAATTGAAAATCCTACTATTGTATTTCATCTCTTTTTAGAGTTCAAATATCATCAATGAAGATGTAACTTTGAAGATAAAGTGGAAGTGGAGATAAGGTTATGGCCTGTAAAAAGTTAGCATGTTATATTTCATATTACTATGTGTTTGGATCATCAGGAAGAAGAATGAACGATTTTAGATGACTTTTTTCTGAATCTTTCTGCATATATTTTGTTGGTTTTATAAAATTTCTCTTGAAGATAGATTTAGATGGATGTGATTACTTTTTCACACCTAACTTACTAATAACTAACTGTAGCAAAAAGTAAATTGATATGCATTTTATATATTATAAATGTACAGAATTTTAATCAAACTTTGGTGGTGATATTAAAGGTTTGGATGGCAGACCTTGCACTTTTGTTAACAACTGAAATTTGAAGAACATGGTAAGACTTAATTTTCACATTGTGTTTTTATCTCCATGTTTGTCTTAATTTTCATGCATTGATTCCTATAGAAATATTAAATGGAAATCAATTTGAAGTTGTGAAATCATGACTTAAATTCATACATTTGTGTATCAAAACAAGACAGAAAACATGTAGGTTCATAATAAATGCGCAATAATGTGGAATTTGAATAAAAACAGGGAAAACTAATAATGGAGTGCTAAATTATGTTTTATCAGAAATGGTTTATGCATTTTTTACACATTTGTGGGTTTGCTTCTATGTGAAGAATGCATGATAAATTATGTCTTATCAGAAATGGTTTATGCTTTTTTTTATTGATTATTTAAAAATTTATTAACTTTATTTATTAAATGTTGTGTTGTCCCTTGATCAGAGTCAATGTGTAGGTATATTAATTTTTTTTTGTTATTATTAAGTAGTGTTTTTAGTATGACATTACAATGTATTCTTTTTACAGGATTGGGAAGTTGTTGCTGATGGCGATGAGTTGGAGATCAGCAGCAAAAAATTTAGTGGATTGATGCTGATAGTGAGAAGCCAAAGAATGCATAGATTAAAATGTTGTTATTGGATAATGAATGATACATCTCAGATAGTTCTTTTTTTTGTTTTAATATAACTTTTTATCATTTCAAACTATTTGATCTCATCGTTTGTAATGACTTATTTCTTTGTAATGTTTAGTGCTAAAACCATTTTACATATTAATTTGAATCAATCATTATAAAGTCACCAGAAAAATTATCTAACTTTGTAAATTAATAACTATTTGAAAATCATTGATTAATTATTATACTTTTGAAGTATTACTATTTTTTTATTTTGAGAACTGTAGTTTCCACTTTGAAAACTCTGGGAACATCGGTAGAGGTTGTAATGCATCCTTTATCACTCTTATCCCCAAGATAAAAGACCCGCTTACTATTAGTGATTACCGACCAATAAGTCTTATTGGTTGTATGTACAAGGTAATTGCAAAGGCGATGTCCATCAGATTAAAAAAAGTCATTGGGGAATGCATAGGCGAAGTTAAATCAGCCTTCATCGAGGGGAGAAATATCTTGGATGGGCCTCTAATAATCAATGAAATGTGCTCTTGGGTCAAGAAGACAAAGGACAAGATGCTACTCTTTAAAGTAGACTTCAACAAAGCCTTCGCCACGGTGAACTGGGAGTATCTAGATCATATTCAAATGCAGCTGGGCTTTGGGGAACGATGGAGGGGCTGGATAAAAAATTGCTTAAGATCCTCGACGTTATCAGTCCTTGTGAATGGGTCTCCAACAAGTGAGTTTGGAATGAGGCGGGGAATAAGACAAGGTGATCCCTTGTCTCCATTTTTGTTCATAATCGCGATGGAGGGGCTGAACATCGCGATGAAGGAGGCTTGCGATAAAGGCATCTTTAAAGGAAAAAAAATCCCAAACAATGATTCGTATGTCTCTCATCTGTTTTATGCAGATGACGCACTCTTCGTGGGGGAATGGAGTGAGGAAAACATAAAAAATCTCGCAAGAATACTTCAATGCTTTCATGTAGCATCAGGCTTAAAAGTAAATTTCAAAAAGTCGAGAGTACTCGGAATCGGTGTTGAACATCAAGAAGTAATATCTTTGGCAGAGCCACTTGGATGTGAACCCTCCCGACTGCCGTTTTCCTATCTTGGTGTCCCTGTGGAGGCAAATATGAAATTAAAACGCCACTGGACTCCCGTTATTGAAAAATTCCAAACAAGGCTGAACGTATGGAAGTCGAAGACTCTTTCCCTTGGGGAAGATTAACGCTAACAAAGGCTGTCCTTGGCAGCCTCCCCACCTTTTATTTTTCATTATTTGTTGCCCCTGCAGGTGTCATTAAGAAGCTTGAAAGAATAAGAAGGAGATTCTTATGGGGGGGATCGATCGATAGAAAAAAAATCAATTGGGTATCGTGGGAAAAGGTGACAGCGCCTAGAGAAGCAGATGGCCTTGGTCTGGGTTCATTGAAGGCACTCAATTTATCACTAATTGTGAAATGGCTATGGAGATTGAAAACGGATGGCTCGAATCTATGGAGTAAGGTCATAAAAGGAATACACAATTTGTACAATAAACCGGCAGACCGTATTTCCAAAAAAACCTACCCGGAGTATGGAGCAATATCGCTGGAGTAAGAGGAGAACTGGAAAAAAATTGGAATTGATCTAAATGACGTAATATCGAAGAAGATTGGGTCCGGTGATGATACTATGTTCTGGCTTGATCGGTGGACTGGAGACAATACATTAAAAACATCCTTCCCTGAGATGTACAAACTGGAACGTCACAAACATTGCAAGATTAGTGATCGGTTACAGGACGGGCGATGTAACTGGAATTGGAAAGAAACACCAACAACTATGGAGCAGCTTCGTGAGATTCAGATGCTCACTAATGGAGTCAATACGTTCCAGTCAGTGGCTCAAAGTGACAGATGGGTGTGTAATCTGTCGAGTGATGGAGTATTCCACGTTAATGCTCTTAGAACACATATCGACCGGAGAAACATGATGCCAGGGGAAGTATCAATAAAGTGGACTCATGAAGTCCCGCTGAAGGTCAACTGTTTCATATGGAGGGCAAAGCTCGATCGACTCCCAACGGCACGTGCGCTAACTAGAAGGGGAATCCAGTTCATGTCCGTCTTATGTCCCTACTGCGAGTTGGAAGAGGAGGATACAACACACGTGTTATTTCGGTGCCCAATGGCATCAAAGGTATGGGAATATGTATGTCATTGGTGCAACATTCCTCATCTCCAATTTCAGAATGCTGAGGAAATGGTGAAATATGTAGCACAATGGGGTACATGTTCAAAGAAAAGAAAAACCCTAACTAGCATATGTTATGGGACTGCATGGAGTATTTGGAAAGCTAGGTGCGATTGGATCTTTAAAAAATTAAGAACATCGCCACCCAAACTAGCAGATTCGGTGAAATCCATTGTGTTTACATAGATTAAGCATAGGAGAGACCGATGCAACATTAGTTGGATAGATTGGTGTGTTAGTCCTTTTACCATTATGTAATTTACTTTCTTTCATGTCTTGTACTCTCTCCTTCCTAGCACCTTGCTAGGAGTTGATGCTTTTTCTTTTATAAAATTATTTGCCGGTTAAAAAAAATAAAAATAATAAGCTAGTTAATTTATTATACACATATTGCCACGCAAAGTCACCGTGCGCACACACATAAGACACGCCATTCAAAGCGAGATTGGGGCCACAACCACAACGTCTACTACGTCCACACCCTTCCAGGTCGCTCCAACCCCCCGCTCATTGACCTTCTGTGTTTGTACTAACCATAATTTCCTCTTTTGCTCTCTTGTTACTCTCCCGTTAGGTCTTTAAGATTCTCTTTCAATCTTCCATCCAAAACCCATCTTCCCTTCTCTGATTATCCATATGGAGCAGGCTGTTCTCGATGATATAATTCAGAGGCTGCTTCAAGTTAGAGGCAAACCTGGTAAACAGGTGCAACTCACTGAGCCAGAAATCAAGCAACTTTGTGTTGCTTCCAAAGAGATTTTCTTGCAACAGCCTAATTTGCTGGAAATCGAAGCGCCCATAAAGATTTGTGGTATTTCTTCTTCTTCTTGTTGTTCTTTTATTATTATTATTATTATAATCTGTTTCATTTTCCCTTTTAGGTTTCTGTATTTGATCGATTTCCTATTTTATTTTTATGGGATTCCCGATTTACTTCAAATCCTTTTGTTAACATCGTGTGAGTTCTAAGGTTTTGTTTTCTGGTGGTCAATTACATTATTTTGTCATCTATTTATCCATTTGATTACACAATCAAATGAGTTTTTGAAGTTCATTTTTGTATTTTAGATGCCCATAAACAATCGATTAGAACTACTGCTCTATCGATTGTACAACAACAACAACAAAAAATGTTAAATTTGTGTTGCTTTCTGATTGATGTTAGAGCTGGACTAATTCCGAATCTGGTCAACTCTTACAAGTTCTTGATGGGTGTAAAATACGAAGTCTCTGATTTTAGATTCTTTTACTTCTTCAATGGTTATTAGGTGATGTCCATGGTCAATATTCAGATCTTCTACGTCTTTTTGAGTATGGCGGATTACCTCCTGAAGCCAATTACTTGTTCCTTGGTGATTACGTTGACCGAGGCAAACAAAGCCTAGAAACAATATGCCTTCTCCTCGCGTACAAAATAAAATACCCAAATAATTTCTTCCTCTTACGTGGTAACCATGAATGTGCTTCAATAAACCGTATATACGGATTCTATGATGAATGCAAAAGAAGATTCAATGTGAAATTATGGAAGACCTTTTCAGATTGCTTCAATTGCTTGCCTGTGGCTGCTCTGATTGATGAAAAGATCTTGTGTATGCATGGTGGCCTTTCACCTGACTTAAATAATCTGGATCAAATAAGAAACTTAAGAAGGCCTACTGATATACCTGATAGTGGTTTGTTATGTGATCTTTTGTGGTCGGATCCTTGTGTTGATGTTAAGGGTTGGGGTATGAATGATCGTGGAGTTTCGTATACTTTTGGTGCTGATATTGTCACCGAGTTTTTAGAGAAACATGATCTTGATCTTGTTTGTCGTGCTCACCAGGTATGATGAGTATTTATAATTATATTCTTGTTTAGGGTTAAGGGCTAATCATGTTCTTTTTATGCAAAAAATTGTGGTGAAACGTTGTTGCATAAATTGGTATAAAGGTGAAATATTGTTGTATAAGTTGGTAAAAAGTTGGAACAATGTTGCGTACGTTGGTAAAGGTGAAATGCTGTTGCATAAACTGGTAAAAAGGTGACGCATTGTTGCATAAATGGGTAAAAGATTGAAAGATTGTTATATAAATTGATAAAAAGGTGAAAATGGTTGCAGAAATTGGTAAAAGTTAAAAAAGTTGTTGCATAAATTGGTAAAAGTTGGAACATCGTTCAATTGTATCAAAGTTTGGTAAAAGTTACTGAATAAATTGGTATATCCGAAACAATTGTTACATAAATTGGTGAAAAGGTTAAACATTGTTTGCATAAATTGGTTAAAAGTTTGAAACATTGTTGTTACATAAATAGGCATTTAAACCTTTTATTTTATGTAATGTAGCTTTTCAAGAGATATTTGTGGTGTAATTTAGATTGGTTTTTTCAGGTGGTGGAAGATGGGTACGAGTTTTTTGCTAACAGACAACTTGTAACTGTGTTTTCTGCACCAAATTATTGTGGGGAATTTGACAATGCAGGGGCTATGATGAGTGTTGATGAGACTTTAATGTGCTCTTTCCAAATCCTAAAACCTGCAGAAAAGAAGAACAAGTTCAATTCTTCTGGTAATGGTATTACCCTTTTTGGGAGCACCACCACAGCTAAACCCGGAAACACCCCACCAGGAGTCAAGGTGAATTTACCATTAACTCCCTCCTTGTGTTTCTTGTCTGGATAAATCATAAACTAAAAATGCAAATATTCAAACTTGAAGGACCGATTTGTACAAAGGAATTTACTTTAACACCAAATTCGGGTGTTAATGAATAGTACCACATCGCATATGGTGTTGTACTACTCACCTAACATCATAAATTTATAAAAAGTTATATGACTTGATGAGGAAAACCTCATTTTCCTACTTTTGGTAATAGGTCGTTGTTTTGGCATTAAATTAAAAAGAAACATCAATATATAATAGAGTCATATATTCTTGTTAAGTCCTTTAAAATTGTATTGTTTTTTTTTTTGGTTTGTACAGCAGTTTATGGGTTCAAGAGTATGAGATTTGTGGCAAAGCTTGAGGCATGAACAATGTAATGCTGAAGAAATATAGATTTCTAGTCTTGGTGATGGTTGTACTTTAGTGATACAAAAGTATATTGTTGTGATTTGTGATCCCATTGCGTAAAAATAATGGGAAGACCCATGTTTTTGACATTTGATAGTTATGGGAACAAAATATAAGAAAACAAGCTTCTACCCTACTTTTTCTCTTTACTTTGGACCCGAGTTGAGACCTTGTTTATTGGTCAAAAATTTAGATGGACACACATTTATGGATTTGGAAACATATTGGCAAAGATGATAATCGACACAAACAAGTATATATCTTCTACTCAAATTAGCATTGATTTTGCCTTTTGCTACATTCGTCGTGGAGTGCACATTTTCAGCAATGAAGTTGGATAAAGAACCATCTATGCAATAAGATGAATGATTGTCTATTAGCAACAACATGCTGAAAAATCGTTATGAAAATTATACGAACATTTGTTAGTATCTATAAATTACGTGTGGTATCCATACCAAAATTGTTGATATGACCCACTTACCATTGGACTCGAGCCCAAATGCCCAATGACTGTCGATAAACTTTTTGGAATTAAAAAGCTTTTTTATGAATTAGATATGTTTACCATACCAAAGGGCTTCTAGCCCAACGGTATCCGGTGTTGCCTTCCCTCCTTGAGGTTGAGGGTTCAAGTCCCGTCGTGGACATAAGTGGATTTAAGATGTAGTTTAGGAGTATGTTAGATTTGCCGTAAAAAAAAAAAAAACGTTTACCATGAAATATCAAAATCAAGTTTACTATTCATAATTATTTTTCACAAAACTTTATTAATTATTTTAGCCATTTACAATTTATAAATTTGATAAAAAAAAAAACCTATTTTGTCCAATTACACTTGTCCAAATCATAAACTAAAAATAAGAAAATAATATTTATTGTTGAATGTAATGAGAAATATAATGACACATGGGTTACAATAATGGAGGGACGTGAAATGGATACATAATTTTGAAAAGTTGCCCAAAATATTTAATTTCTAAAACAGTGAGGGGTGAAATTGACAATTTTCAGAAGTACAAGTGTTGGACGCGGAAATCTTATAGGCTTATACGTGTACGGTGGGCGCGGTATTCAAGGCACGTTGTCCGTACTAAATCAGGCATGAATCCAAAAACCCGCCAACTTCGCATAAAACAACAATGAGGCTAAATAAGTCATTTCCAGTTAACAGTTTTTAATCCAGCAGCACAGCTTACTTGACACGTCGTAAAAATTTTCTTTCCGGTTTTTTTCTTTCAACTATTTATTCACAGTATTGGTAATAAATTGTAGAGAAATGAAAACGTTTTATACAATGATTATTTTTGGCCAATGAAAATTATAAAATAACCATAATTTTTACAAAAAACCTAAATGAAAAATTCACATGTTGGAACTTCTTTTCTGATTTTTCTGATTTTATTTTATAGACAAAATACATATTCGAAAATTATTTTTTCTAACAAATATGAATTTTTGAACTTCTATCAATTTTGAGGTAAATATAAGTTATTTTTAAAATAGATAACCATAACGATGGAATAATACTAAACTAAATATGATATTTAGTTTTATTAACGCACAAGCACAACCAACCTATGAGTGGATATCATTGAGAACGTGTGGTTCTAATATGGGAAGTGATATTTCCACATGTTTATTTGATTCTTTCACTTAAATTTTTTTGCTTCGACATCTTTGCCCTTACTTAAAATTAAAAAAAAAAACATAAAAAGATATAAATGGGTTTGCCGTTTCTTATCCATGAAAACACAATGTTTCCTTTTTCTCCATTATATATCACCTAAAAAAACTAATTCGTGTTTTTATTTATTAATCAAACTAGCCCACTAATTTATATTTTGAAACTTGACTTTGTTTTTCTTATTTATCATTTAATTATAAAATCTGATAAATCTTAATCCGTTTTCTTATTTATCTAGAAATATCACAATAATATATAACAAATATTTATTTGTTCCATACCAATGCATATCACGATAAAATGTTTAAATTAGTATATATAAAATCACAATAATATGGTTACCTACTAAAATGTTGTCTAACAAAATTTTCTAATCATAATAATTTTAAAAAGAATTGAGTATTAAAAAAAAAAACATTCACCATACTCTACTATTGACAGCATATGGACACTGGTAGATGAAGGATTACTAAACTATTAACCACATAATACCTTCCTTGAGCCAATGATACATCAACCAAAGGGTATACCTATAAAATAAAAAAATAAAAAAATCCACCACACAATACCCTTCAAGATTAGAACTTATGAAATCATGACAAATGCACAATCATTCATTCAGTTGTGTCTTACAAATGAATAATAAAGTGTCTAAGAGTAATTTATTTTATTTAAATACATATCGAACTTTTATAAGTGATGATATTTAATTTGTGTAGGATGAATGTTTTTTTATCGTCAACCTTTTTTTTTAATATTATTATGATTTAATTATTTTCGTTGGGCAACATTTTATTATGATTTGTTATATATTAGTTTGAACATTTTATTATGATATGCATTGATTTGAAACAAATTAATTTTTAGTACATATTATTATGATATATATCAGTTAGTTAGCGGTCTTGATAGATGAATAATGAAACAAATTAATCTTTGTTAAGTTTTGAAAATGTTTAAATGGATTGATTGAATAAAAGTTATCACTTACGTGGGTTTGTTTGATAAATAAATAAATAAACTAACTAATTTTGTAAGGGATAAATAAGGAGAAAAAATAGAAACAAATTAATTTGGTAAGTGATAAAAAGAGCGAAAAAAAAACACACTCAAATGTGTATGTTTAAATGTGTATGGTAAGTGATATAAACACCCATTCAAATCTCTTCGTATTTTTAGAAATTTCAATTAAGGGTAAAAATGTAAAAACATTTTTATTTTAAGTGGAAACATCAAATTGATAAGTGGAAATATCAACTCCCTTCTAATATAGGTCGATCAAAATTAATCAATCATATTAATAAGTAAAAATAAAAATAAATCTAAAATTATATTCAATTTTTTTAACGTGTAATCTATGGGTAGACAAGATTAACATTATATGTTTTTAATAAATATCTATATTATCGTATAATTAAAAACGATACAATGTTATATTTCAAAATTAATATCAATAAAATAATTATTTTTAATAAAATCTATACTATATATATATATATATATATATATATATATATATATATATATAAAATTGTATTACCTACAAACTTTCGTCCAGTATTATACTCATTTTAATATTATAAATTAACCCTCTCTCATGACCAAGGCACATACATGTCGGTGTATTTACCACAATGTGAACTCATTTTGATACAAACGGAACCTTCACCATTCACCACGGACAGTTTCATGCCATGTAGGCTTTAGCCATGTTCGCTCGCATGAAACACTTCTCCATTAAGTTATCAAATTATAGTGGACCCGTTCATGCTTCTTACAAGTACACCGTGCTTCTTACAAGTTAACTTTGTTTTTTATTTGTTATACCATTTGATAAAATAATTAGAAGCTTATGTAAAATTACAAAAATATGACAAATTGTTATACCATTTAATATATAGATATATATAGATATATATATATATATATATAGATATATATAATAGTATAGATATATATAAACTTTTTAAATATGTAAATTACAAAAATATGACAAATTGTTATACCATTTAATATATATATATATATAATATATATATATATATAATATATATATAAACTTTTTAAAATATGTAAAATTACAAAAATATGACAAATTGTTATACCATTTAATATATATATATATATATATATATATATATATATATATATAGAGAGAGAGAGAGAGAGAGATGATCATGTGAAGATTTTTTTTCGGTGAGGATTCGTAAGTACACCTTAAAAAATAAAAATAAAATACAAATAATAAAATCAAGCATAATACTATATTGGAGAGAAAAAAAATTGGAAAAAAGTTTTGGATCATTAAAATTGAATTATGGATCATTTTTATAATCCATGATTCACTTTTTATGATCCATGATTTAATTTTAATGATCCAAATTGGTTTTTTAATTTTTTTCTCTCCAATATAGTATTATGCTTGATTTTATTTATTTATTTTCAATTTTTTAAAAGTGTTCTCACGAGGTCTCACCAAAAAGAGTAATCACCGGAACGGACCATATATATATATAATATATATATATATATATATATATAGATATATATATATATAATATATATATATATATATATATATATATATAATATATATATATATATAGGTAAGTTCAATTGAGAAAATAAAAAAAGTTGAGAATAGGGGAATCATTCTCAGCCACTCATTTCATCTAAACATAAAAAGACACGGTGGCAAACTTGTAAATATGTTAATAACCTTCAATCTCAAATACGTAACTATAGAGAATTCGATAACAGTTCGTTCATCATCAAAATTTCTCCTCTAACCTTCAACAATCATCCAGATTTCTTCAACTAAACCATCATCAATGTCATCCAGTGTTAATCAATCATCAATATTCGTGGCTGGAGGTTCGCCGTTCAAGACAGATTCGCAACTCAAATTCATAAATTTCATCGATTTCTTTGTTGAATACTCCGAATGTTCGTAACTTGCAAGCATTTGTTAAAGTTATGAACGGATTTGGAACTGGAATTTCCCTGATTCGCAAACAAACTCAGTTGGAATCAGAATTTCTTTGTGTTCATGAAATTGGAATCGGAGTTCTGGACTCACAGTCACAGTCGACATTGAAGGACTCGGAATCGGTACTCACAGGTTCCCAATCGGATTTTCGGAAATCAAAATCAAAATGAGAAATCGATCAGACATAGGATGTCGCATCTGAAGTCGAAATCGGAAGTATATGATGATTTGGAATTGATAACTTGAATTGGAAGTATCATGTTTTTAACATTTTTAAAATAGTTAACTTGTATGCAATCCAACTGTTTGATGAAATGCATAAACTAAATTATCACGTTATATTCACATATGAATATTTTTTTCTCACCTAAATCAGTATATAATTATTAAAAACACAAAACAAATATGCAAGTCTGTATGTTATTCATATGTGAATAACATATAAAAATTATATATATTTGTGAAAATACCTTCTAATATTCATAAGTAAATATATTCAGAAGTGAATATACCTTGTAATATTCATATGTGAATATAATGTGTAATATTCATAAGTGAATATATCATCTAATATTCACAAGTGAATATACTATGTAATATTCACATGTGATATACAATGTAATACTATGTAATATTCACATATGAAAATATCATTTAATATTCATAAGTGAATATACTATCTAATATTCACAAGTGAATATACTATGTTAATATTCACAAGTAAATGCATCGTCTAATATTTAAATATGAATATACTATGTTTATTATGTTATATTCATATATGAATGATACTTAAATTG